AAACTCTTAAGTAAAAGAAAAACAAGGGAGAGTAGAGTTAGGTATGCCATTTACCAAACCCTATCTGCAATCTCACTCGTCGTCGCTCTCATTCTTTAGATTCCTCTGAAATGTAATCATAACAAAACCAGGGGAGATTCCAACAAGGCAGCCTCTCTACTGTCCTCCTCCACAGTCTTCTGAATATACAGCAAACAAATTCTCACATCGAAAGATGGAAGAAACCATATTAGCAGAAGCAGAATATTCTATTTCTCTCAACAAGAGAAAAGCAATTTTGACAAGCAATTCTGACACCGAATTAGGATTCCAGTCCCAGAGTATATAACAGTGGCAAAATACATAGAAAGTACTCCAGGTGTGGATGACCTGCATACAATGACAGTGAAAGACAAACTGTTTAAGTGACATAAGTAGGGAACAGCAGAACACACAAGCTAATTAATATGATGAAGATGAGAATACTCTATCCATAAAGAGACAGTCTGCAAAAGCAATTGAGATATTCTGCCAAAAATATACGTATTTTGTACCAGGTAAAGGATTTAGCAGTTTAAGTCTTCAGTTTCCATATTAAGAAGTTAAGACAGACTTTTCCTGATTTCACGTTTTCCCTTCTTGACAGAAGGTTTAAAAAAAAAGAAAAAAAAAAAAAAAAAAAAAAAATCACTCCTAGTTCAAATATTTCTCCTAACTCCAAAAAACCCCCAAAAATAAATTCAAGGCATATGGAGATATCTGGTTCTGAGCAGTTGATTCATATTGCGAGTTAGTACATTACAAAAAAGCATTTGACCAAGGAGTTAATTGCAAAATCCTTCTTGAAAAGGACACTTGTCTTCAGACCACAAAGCAAGTAAGCTACTGATAACAAAGAAAAAATAGCCCACTGAAGAACTGTCACAGAATTACTTTATTTCTATGATAAACTTTATATTCAAGGTTATAGATCTTCACCCTCCTCCCTCAAATGAAATCATACCAGCAAGTAATGACCAGTTCATCAAGTTATCCTTCTCAAGCTAAGGGTAATAATTGATGATACTGCAATGTACATGAAATACACTCTTCAATTACAAATAGTTGCTTTGCACTTAAAACAGACTTTGAGGAACTACACGTTATTCCAACTCAGCTGATGGACTGTAAAATAGTTCTCTCTTTTGTTCAAAGAATTGCTGTGCTTTAAGTCATGTCTACAGACACTTGTTAAAGAGCTCAGGTGGAATTACTCTACTCTGTTTCGCTATTCTATAGCAACAGCCCACATGTACAACTTAGACTGCCATAAATACAAAACAGCTTATCCTTTTCAGAAAGGGACATGTTCAGAACTACCTTGCATTACAGGTGAGAGGACATATGAAAGCAGCAACTGCAGAGCAAGTGACAAAAATTTATTAATCCATACATGAAGGTCTAATATTAAAGCTTCCGTTTAATGGGGACCACACTAAGCTTTTCCTACAGAAAATAATAATAATTTTCAGAACATTTAAGAAAGAACAGAACCTTCCTAATACCTGCACAATTAGCCAAATAGAGAAGAACAAAGCCTCACCACTTGTTCACATTAATTAACAAAATGCTCAAGTACATTTTTGTGGTATGATTAAAAAAGTACTAAAGACATTTACTAGATAATAAATCATAAATATAGTTGTCAAGTTAAGCATCACACTATTTCAACAACTTGCCCCTTCGTTTCTAAATTACAGTTGTTGGGTTTTTTTAATATTAGTGTACCAACTTAAAACTTACAGCACTAGCCTGCCAAGTACCAAAAGGACATCTTCACATTCTGTAGTCAAGTAAGGTCGTGCATTAGCAAAGCTTTGGATGGAGATTCGATATACTTCCAAAAAAGGTAAAATATGTTCCGATGCACCCCGACTGCCAGCATACTGAAGTAGTGTCTGAAAGAAAATGAGTTATCATTAGAAGTTCTCATAACACACTTTTGTCTAAAAAACAAATATCAATATGCAATATCAAGCACATACAGTGGAAGAATTCTAGAAGTGCGAAGCTTTTATTCTGAAGGAGATTTAAAAATGGTAGCTTTTCTCCTCAACAGAAGTTCTCCCTTTTATTCAAAAATATTTTCACTTATTTTATTAATTTTGATAAAGTTATCAGAATTTCTACTGGGGAGCAAGCTAGATGCAACTGGCAGAAAAGTGAACTGTTAAGTTAAAAATTCAGAGAAAAGTCCTGCACTCAGCTTCTTTTGTACAACTGCCATGGAGACAGAACCACATATGTAACATTAGAATCTTTACTACTACTAAGAATGCAGCAAAATAGGCAAGAAGTTCAAGATTAAAATACTAAATATTCTTAAAGATACATGCATTACCGATACACCAAACATGAAGTCATTAGAAGGGAATACAAAATCCAGATCAGAACGCTATGTAGTCATTTTTCAAACGCAAAATTACCCTAGATTTTACTACTTGACCATTTTACTACTTGACATTATCCAGCGACAGTACTGAAGAAGCAGTGTAAAATCTAGCCAGTTTTAAAAGAAACAAGAAGTTGTTTCAAAAATCAGCACAGGGACAACAGTAGTATCTTCCAACCTTTTTAAAACTTCACTACACTACCATGTTATTTTCCTATAGGTTACATAGTAATACTGAGAGCAAGCAGGGCACTGAGCCAAGGACACCTCAGCTCTACCGACAGCTTGCTTCACGAATAACATCCCTCTCTGTACGCACACCCTCCTACAACTCTAGACCATTTATGCTTGTATTCTTACCAGTCACAATCCCTCTCTCATGTTGCACCCTCCCTAGACCAAACAAGGTATCAATCTTGATTAAGGCCAGCTGCGAAGAAAACAAAAAACAATGAAAAAGACTGCTTTGTGGAACCCTTAGGGTCAACACTGCACGGAAAAAAAGTTCAGAGTGTCCCACCCTATAATTCAATACAAGATGAATTGTCCTAAGAGGATGATCAGGTCCTATCAGGCTTCAAATTACTTCACTTCAAGTTGGAACTCTGACACAATCAATTTATTTTAACACCTTAACCAAACACATGATTGTATCAGGTTATGACTGGAAGGAGGACACTACTGAACAGACCCTACAATGAGCTTACTAAAACCAAGTGCAGTCATTATAATGGCCAGAAACTTCTAAGACAAAACATAACTTCCCACACAGCAATAAATAAAAGGCCAGCTACACACAATTTTGTGGACTATCTGGTGTTATGTCAGTGATCTAACTATATAATACTAGTCCTACGGTGGGAAAAAAAAAAACAGACATCCACTAGACTGGCATAACCACATGCAATATTTAAGAAAAAAAAATATCTATAAAGCACACCATCTAAGAATCAGCAAAAATCAAGACCATTTCGTAGATTAAATCAAGACCATTTTGTAGATTATTCTCCTGGAACTCAGTATCAGAATACAATCCCTAGGTGAATGAAAGTTACAAACTCTCCAAAAAAACGACACACTTAATAAAGACATAAGGAGAGGAGGGAAGGTTGGAAGTTTACAGAAATCATCCTTAAACATAGCACAAAGATCATTAGCAGAAGCAATGAATGACTAGTAACTAACCAGTCTTAAGGGCTTGTCTAACAGATTAATGAAGGATTTGATAATATAATTCCAATTATATATGGCATTAGAAGCATTAAATTACATTCAAAGGTTGTCAAGCTGTAATCCCTAAAGATACTCCATTGATGACTATTATAAAGTCACCTGTTTAGTAAATCCAGCAGTAATGCTATCACTAGTGACTACAGAAATAGAAAATCAAACATACAAATCTTTTCTAAAAATACATCCATTAAACCCAATCTATTTAAAAAGCCAAATTTAGTACTCAATTATTTCGACAGACACTTAGATCGTAAACTATCTGGTCTGTGTAAACTACAAAACATGGTAGAATATTTCCTAAGATTAAATAAACTTACTAGAAAACACTGCACCCTTTCTTGAGTGCAACCCTAGCGTTAAGATGAAAGTCTTACAGCTAATACTAGCAATTCGTTGAGTAGCCATTTATTAGAAATTTCTCCCTGAAGAGATGAGCAATGATGGTTTCAGGGTACAAGACAGATTAAAGGCAAGAGTCTTATGAATAGCTTGAACTTCAAAGATACATAGTTTTGAACATTATTATGCTATTAGTATTAGCATAGCGACAAATAAGCAAAACACAATAACTGTATTGCAGAGGCTCTTAAAAAGCTCTTCTGCTATTTCACAAGCAATATAAGTAGAAGTTTCAGTAGTCCACTACAGACTTTTCCTGGCAGTCTCTATACAAGACAAAATTAGACAATTTTTAACTCATCAGAAGTATATAATTGACATGCTTAATGAACAGTGAAGTAACAATTTTATAAGCAGTTACTACCTTACACTCTAATTACCTGAAGGGAGTATTCCAACATTTAAAATCTGGTTAACACATATCCACTTACACTTTATCCTATCCTCCTTTTTACTACAATAATTGGCGAGTTGGGCGAGGATAGCAGAGGCCACACACATGCACCTACCGTGTAATCTGCAGACCAGCCTAGGTCCTCGACACTGCATAGAGTCTCATGTCCTGCAATGCTGGAATACCTGCTTAGCTGCATTTCTACACCATGAAGCACTCATGTTTTGCTCAGAACCAATTTAAAGATGTCTAATTTGTCTGACCTGTTATTATAGCTTTAAGATTCTGCTTCTGAAAAAAAAAAAACCAAACCATCTCTTCTTAAACATACCTGATTGCAATTGACAGTCCTCAACAGTATCACCTTTAATAATTTCAGAAAGCCAACAGGTGCTGGGTATTGGCAGATGGGATGCTTTGATGCCCTACCACCTCTGCTTCACTGCTAACTGTTCTTCGTATTTACTACAGAGCAACCTCAAACACACATACACACTGTTCATTCTGGTTGGCTGTTTGGGTACATATTGAGCTCCCCAAAAGACATGTTTTTCCTAAAATGAATATACAAAGCATTCATGCTTGTACAATATAAAGTTGCAGGGTCAACTCACTATCTAGGCTTCATGAGTTTCTTTGTTGTGTTATCCTGGACACTAATCTTAGTCCCCTGCTCAAAAATAGGTGATCTTCAAGGAAATTGTGCCATCCAGCATCATTCCCATGAAGAGCCACTGGAAAGCTGCACATGGCAGCACAAGTTTACACGTAGTAAATAATAGTATCCAAACAGCTCAAAAGCTACTGATTTGGTTCAGTTTGTTGTGTCTCAACAGCCTCGGTAACTTCCACAGCAAAACAGAGCACCTTTCAGGACCAGCCACAGATGTAAACACAGGACAGCAAATCCACCACCGCCCTAAAATATTTCAGCTACCCTTATCGCAGCTACTTCCCAAGACCGTATTTAAGCCCCGTTAAATTCAGCTTCTCTCTAGGCATGTTCTGCTGTAGCTTAATAAGTTTATGACAAGATACCACCGGTACCCTCCAAGTTGTTAATACAGAATTAAGTTGAGCTCCCTAAATTTCACTTAGAGGCAGATCTGAAGTTATTTTTAAGTTTTATCACTCAAACTCTGTGCAACATTCACAAACATCTCCAGTCAGAAGGAGAAACCAAGATGTAAAACTACATCCTAATCACAGTGGTTTGACTGCATAATGACATCACAAATTCATACTCCATTGAAATTGCTGCATGACAGACTAGCAATTTCACATTTTCCACCGTATCTCTTGGTGTGCAATCATGACAAGCAGAAATGTCCCAAACTGATGGCAACTCAAGACAGATCTTTTTCATCTAGAGTACTATCTATCACTGTTCTAAAATGAGACTACGATTCAATAACAGCACAAAGACCTAAAGAGGTCTGCATTTTTTGTAGGACAGGGTTTGGGTTTTGTTTGTTTGTTTGGTTTTTTTGTTGGTTTTTTTTTTTTTTTGGGTGTAACAGAACTATCTTCCACCAAACTCCATTGATTAAGTACCTCTAAAGCTTTATCTGCACCAAATTAATCTGGGCGACTGGACATCTACATACATCAATCATCTTGACAATCTGTACTAAGTGTTAGCTGAATATTTGTTTCAGTATTCTGATGCAATGAATGCCACTGGAAACAATTTTAGCAAAACCTGAACCATGGAGAAAGTCACACGCATTATACTGGGCTCTGTGTAAATGCAAGTTCACATATCTTAACAGTATGCTTAACTTTGGATGTACACAGCAGAATGCAGCAGCACCATCCTGCAGTTTGAGAAGTAAGAGTTTTGAAACCTAAAAATAAACTCCTATTATTTCAGTAAGTGATGAGTTAAACATCCTCCCAGAACAGTATGGCAAAGCACACAACCTGTGGATGTAAAATGGAAGACTGAGAAGGGTAATATCATTTATCTATAATGCACAAGTAGGATTTTTTTGTCTCACTTGGCAACTGACTTTGCCATTCACGATTTAAATACAGTGACTGTATCAACTGAGGTGTGGTTAAACTAGCTTGTAAAACAGATTTTTTTATTTCAGAAACCACAATCTCTTCAGATTCAACAGGGATGGCTCTCCAATCCAGCAACCTAACAACAATTAGTCAACCTTAGAGCTCACAGTAAATGATGCTGTGGGGCAAGCAAAAATTAACCACTGAAAGAGTTTATTTAAGAATAAGTTATCTCCATCACTGTGACTTTAATCAAGTTCAGCTCTTCTGGAAGTTATTGGCGTGATTCAGAAATTGCTGATCCTTAGCCTGAGTTGCATTAAGCAAGTATTGAGACAAGGTCATCAGACCACAGAAGCTCATTTGGTGACTTAAATGAACTACAGGCCTTCACAAACCAGCAAGCACTGCTTATTCCACGGTAGATCTCAATCAACGTGAAACACATAGTTTTGATCCCGAGGCAGGTA